CATTCCTGCCCACTCCTGTTACTCCTGTTACTTTTAATTCTCCCCGTTGTTTCTCATTTATTGATACTAGGCTATATTATACTAACTTAACAAATAAAAGGTTACAGACATTTAAAAACAGTTGTTTTTTTTTTTTCATAAAACAAAGGATTATCCTGTTAATGTGCAAGCATTATGGGCTACTTCCAGACCATCCTATAACATGGAGCTGTGGTTGGGAAGGGGTTTATGTGCTATGCAATTAAAGGGCTGTGTACAGTGAAGTCAGCTGAATGGTTTAAGACAGCAGTTGGGCCTTCTGTAAACTGAAAAAATCCTTAGCAGCTCCCATCGTTTGGAGCTTATCTGTGTGCAGTTACTAGTCTGATTTACAGACTTCATTATCAAAGCCACAGCCTTTCAGCAGTTTTTGGATGAAACTGGTCTGACGTGTGCCTGTCTTCTGTTACACCCATCAAAATTAGCTTTGCGTATTACCTGTTTTACCTCTTAGCTCATTAAGTTAGTTGATCTGTTTTGGAGTCAGAAAATGTACAAACAGGGGAAAATTTCAATCAAATCAACCTTGCGTAGAAACAACTGCCTGTTTGCCATCTGCAGTGGGCATTGATCCCTCGCTTGTTTGTGCCTTGCATTTGTTATGCATGAGTAAGCGCATTAGCCTTTTCATTTCATTCATTAGACAGTTAGTCCTTGATTAGTGTTTCCTAGTTTCTCTCAAATATGCTACTACTCCTTTATTCAGTTTGTCTTGGGTCTGTCTTTTCCTTTTGCTTCAATGTAGAGAAAATTAGCAGTTAACCACAACAGTAGTCCGTTTGTTTCTGTTTCATATAGAGCTGGCTAACAAATATACCTTTTCTGATATTGGCAAGTCTAACATGAGATAAAGTATTAATGATGGGTCTTTCTAAAGTTAACAGAGTTATTATTTTAGTTCAGCTGGCAGGCTTTGTTTAGAAGTGTGACATCTCAGAGTTTACTGTCGACTTTCTTTCATCCATATTCAAGAACTGTGGGATCACCTGTGTACTAGTGGGTATTTGCATTATAAAATTGCACTGCACATAAAAATAAATCAAAAGTAATGGTAAGTGGAGTCTGAGAATATGGCATCCAAAGTTTCAGGTGAAAGTTTGGATGACAGGACAGAAAGAGACGGCTTTTTATGGCTAACGTCAGTTCATTCATTAGGGGTTTTTGCTCTCATTTCCTTGTAGGAAAGTAAAATGTTAGATGATGATTCTGTTCTTAAAGACAGAAAAAAATAATGGTACGTTTGTTCATAATGCATCTTACTATATGCATATTTATAAACTACATAATAAGAACGTGAATAATATGACGATTTCAGTGGAGACAGTATATTCAGTGATGCTATTGATTTTACTTGATCAGTGATTACAAGTCATATTGCTAGAAATTCTATACTGTGCTAAGCTCTTATGTACAATAGTGTGAAAAATATTATGACTTTTTAATTACTTGTCATTCACAATCTTAAAAATTGTGTATAAATGTTATCAATTAGTCTGAGCAGTTCTATCTGATGTATTGTCAAAATTAACACATTTATTTTTTCAAAGTACCCATGGGTTAGTTAGCTAAATCTAGAGGTTGTACCTATCTGTTCTCTGGCGTTTGCCCTGTTTAAGACTCTAATATAAATAAAAAATGACTTCATCCATAACGTGTTGCAAGCATGTTTGATGTTAGTGGGTACCTGTATATCTGCAGTAAATAATTACTTGCTTATTTAAAAGTTATATTAAGGTGGATTGGTTTGGATAAAAATGATTTGAAACAAAATATTTTAATCATGTTTGAAATCAGCAGTAAGATACAGTTTAAGTTTTTTTTTTCCACTAAGTGCTAATTCTTATTGGTGGGAAATCATTTAAAATATGTTGCTAGATAAGGGCTTTATACTGAATTTAATACTTCTCTGAAGTTCTTGGTTTTTTAATTTTTATGACCTTTTAAGGTGGTGAATAATGCATTTTTCTACATGATAGTTGATTATAATGGTGGTTTTACTTGCAGTTTTTTGCCAAATGTTGTTTAGATGGAAATGGAATTCACCTACAACTATTATTAACTAAACTAACTCTTCTTATATTAATTTTCTTATATATGCAATATTTTAAGATTTAAGTATGGAAACGTAATTTACAATTAATAACATCCATTTAACAATTTAAAGAGTGTCTTTAGTGAGAAAACCAGATGGATTTCTCTTTGCTTACTATCTCTTGCAAGACTATAGAGCTGGTAGATTACATACTCTCACATCTAGTTTAATATTTATATTAAAAGATGAAAACAAACTTTTTACATTCTTAATACCCAGTTTGTAAATTCTGAATGAATTAGTAGGTCAAGTAAATGGTAAATGATCTGGAATGAAGACATTATTTTTATATCTGCAAAGGAGATATAAAACTGCTATGAAAACTGATTCTAGCACATCAATTTGAAATACTTTATTTTCAGCAACTTCCACAACTGCAATGATTTGAACTTTAAAAAGTGTAATAAATTTATTATGTTCAGATATATCCCATTCTTGGAACAGTGTACCTGTAAGCTTTCTAACTGATCAGAGTTTTGCTCTTGTTGAACAACGATAATTCACAAAACACCTTACAAATGATATGCCTTGGTTACAGGTTTGATTTTCTGTTTTGCAGTTTTCCCATCATGATAGATTTATAGTTTTCTTTTTCCTGTTAGGATGCTTCAATTGCCCACAGATTCCATATCATGAGAGAAAAACATCCAGAGAAGTTCAACAGTAGGTAAGAATCTAAAAATATTTGCATTTGACGATATTCTTTCCATGTTTTTAAAGTATGTTCTGTAAAGGGTTAAATTTTAAGTATCTTTAAAATACTAATTCTTATAAAAGAGAGGAAATTGGTGCATCTCATGTTATATATATACTCCCAGACCGCTTGCAGTGTAACTGTTTTATATCTGGTATTTCAGCTGAAATGAATAGCATTATAAATAAATGGTTCTCACAGCAAAATGTTTGACTTGTAAGACTAGCATGGACAAGGTGATGCATTGTGGTATCTGAGGATCCCAATCTGAGGAATTGACACTTTGCCACTAGGCACTGAAGAACACTTATGAGACAGCTGCAGATGGTGATCCTTATGTTTCATTCCCACACGCACACTGGTACATTGACAAGGGGCTCTTCCATATATACTCTTAGTAAGGGCAAGTGAATACCATTTTACACATAAATGCTTTTTATCATTAAAGAGCTTTGGATATGTAAAGAAGTCAAGAATGAGACTTCGCATCTGTTCCTTGTGTTACTTTTTGAATTTGGAATGTTATCTCAGAGCTTTTCTGCAGATTAAAAATTTATTACAACATGAACTATAAATTTACCTTATTTCACTATCTAGTCTGTTGAGTAGATAATATTCTTAATGCAATGCTTATGTTTGTCTCTTTTTATTTAGGTAATTTAGCACATCAGTTGTGATAGGTTAAAGCAACAATTCAGAAACTTTAATTAACATTCAAAGGCAGAAGGGATCAGGAAAGATGTTAAGTGCATGGGAATAAGAGGGAGATATTTAGAAAAAATTATTTACCCAAATGTTCTGTCTTTCTGAACCTACTCATAGATTTTCTTTAGTTTTCCATGGGGATAACCTGGGAAGTCTTGTGATGTGCAAGTCTTCATAGAAATATGCTGTTCATGCCAGTGGGTTGTCTAACTCCTTAGAGCTGTACAGAATGATGTTTGATTGTTATCTAACTTCTTACTGTTTTCATGTTGCAAGTATAAATTTTACATTTCCCATATTTTAACACTCAGAAATGGGGGCTTCTTTCTTGAATACTCAATCTGCATAGCATCTGTGCAGTGACAGACTATGAACCTGAGTGTATATTTCTGTTTAAGTTCCACAGTAAACATTTATGTTGTATTACCTCCTATTCTTACTCTGATGCTCATCATTCTGAAAGAAATATACTATGAATAAATCTGAACTTAAACCTAGCCTGTACATCAAAATGTAGTATACCTGTTCAGCAAGACTAGAGATACTGGACACTTACCTAGTGCGGATATTCAATTAGGCCCTGAAGATGAAGGTAGTTTATCCATGGTCTTTCTGCATATTTTCAGCAGTTGGCAATTATAATTTATAAAAAGCTCAGCTAATAACATGAGTTTCAGATCAGATTTCATGTCACAATAAATCATATGCCATTAATAACATCTGCTAGCAGACTCACCTTGAAATTCATCTATATTTTAAGGAAACTGATGTTTCTAACATTATCTTAAGGAAATTAATTACAAAAATATATAGTTCAAGTCCGTACGTGTGATGGTACTGAGATATTGAAAGAAAGTGAAAAAAGCAATGATTCTCTGGGTTTTGAAAGACTGTTCAGAAAGATTATACATTTCTAAAAGAGAATATAAAGACTTGGACAATGTATTGTGATAGAGACTGATTTTAAATATTCCTCCTTTTGTGTAGTGATAAAAAATGGAGATTGTTGTTGTTGTTCAGTAGAATTTTCCAAGCAATGATGCTAGGTCAGAAATAGTTTGTTCCTCTAACAGTTACTAGCATGTGGCAATGCTTCATAATATATTGTAGCAGCGTTATCCTGCAGTATGTGAAAATAAAACCCTTTTTTAGATCTCTGCTAAACAGCAAGATATATTTTACTTTTCTGTTCACCAGAGTGTGGAATTTCTATGCAGTCTAAGTGAGTTAGGATCAGCAAGTCCAGCTGAGATCAAGTGGATTCACAGTGGGCTCCATAGTTAATAACACTTACAATTTTAAAAATCCTACCTTGACACTTCTGAATATCTCTCCTGACTCAAAAAAAAAAAAAAATCCTTTTTTGGCTTTCAGTGCCTTTTTACCTGTAAAGCAGATCCTTGCATTGAGGTTCTACTCTGAAGATGGGTATGTAAACAGGGTACCAACTCCTTAAAGAACAGAAAGGGCCCTTGGTCACAATATACTGTAGCTAGAAACCTGAATATTAAATTGCAAATAAGGTTTCCATTTCTATAATAGCCAGAACAGCGCAAGCAGAATGAGATGGTGGTCATCTTGGCTAGTAAATCAACAAAACTGTCAACTTGATTGAAATGAAACTCAATTAACTCAATTGCCTTTAAGTTAACTGTATGTGCAGAGTTCTGTAAAAACCCAACATTGTTACATTTGCTTCAGTGAGCTAGGTTTTCGTTTGGGAAATCTTTTCTTTTCTTTTTCTTTTTCTTTTTCTTTTTCTTTTTCTTTTTCTTTTTCTTTTTCTTTTTCTTTTTCTTTTTCTTTTTCTTTTTCTTTTTCTTTTTCTTTTTCTTTTTTTCTTTCCCTTTCCCTTTTCCTCCCTTTTTTTCTTTCCCTTTTTCTTTTTCTTCCTTTTTCTTTTTCTTTCTTTTTCTTTTTCTTTTTCTTTTCCTTTTTCTTTTTCTTTTTCTTTTTCTTTTTCTTTTTCTTTTTCTTTTTCTTTTTCTTTTTCTTTTCTTTTTCTTTTTTTCTTTCCCTTTCCCTTTTCCTCCCTTTTTTTCTTTCCCTTTTTCTTTTTCTTCCTTTTTCTTTTTCTTTCTTTTTCTTTTTCTTTTTCTTTTCCTTTTTCTTTTTCTTTTTCTTTTTCTTTTTCTTTTTCTTTTTCTTTTTTTTCTTTTTCTTTTTTTTCTTTTTCTTTTCCTTTTCCTTTTTCTTTTTCTTTTTATCTTTTTTTTTTAATCACAGTAAATGCAATCTTCAAACTCCTAAGAATATTCCTTGACATTCTCATCCCATATTTTTAGGGAGCATAGCAGTAAATAAAAAATAGAGCATACCAATATGGATATTCATGGTACTTTATATTAGTGCATGAAAGCAGAATCTTTCTGCAGTGAGTTATCATCCCAAAATGAAGGTGAGAGTGCATCGCAAGGCTATGGACTTACTAGTTAATATTGTAAAATACTTTGGAAATAGGTGACTAGGTGTTATGGACTGACACATTTAAAAACTAAGACTTAAATATGTTCATGAAAATCAGAATCTCAGCTGTCACCATAGCCATTCTACAGGTCTGAAGTGCTGAGGTTACTGCACTTGAGAAAGCAAGGTACAGTTCTCAGTATCTCCTGCTTAAGAATAGGGTCGGATTTTCTGATTTCAGTGTGGAAGGGTCGAGGTAACCTCAGGGGGAGGTAAACTTGCAAAAGATAGCATTTTGAGTAACTGTATCATTAAGCTAGGACATACTGTTGAAATAATGATTCATTTAGGCCAAAATACCCTGCAGGGAGATCTGCGTAAATATCCTAGACTTGAAGCTGAGAATAACAGATATGTAAGTTATATGTCTAGAATATACGCATGGAAACAAAACATTGAACAAAAAATAAGTTAATATTAAACTATTCTAAAATAATGTTCAGTAGGCATGCTAATTTGACTTCCTTGGCACCCAATAGCATACAAGATATTTCTTAGTCTCAACCAAGTAATGTAGTGTTTATAGTTTATATTTACAGTTTTCAGTACATAATCACTGAGATTTTCAAACATAAGTCTATTGTCTTCATTTATATGTTTTATAATGAAGAAATCCTAAAGCAGAAAAATGTTCATATTCCTAATAACTCAATTAACATCATATACTTGACCATGTAGTTAAGGAATTCCCTTTCAACTTGTTTTATTATGCTTTTGTTTTATGCCAATATACCTTTAACTTCTCAAGATATTAAAAAAAAAATATAGAAAGCACCGATTTAGTTTGTGCAAGTGATCTCCAAGAAAATTAGTGTTATTTTATTGAATATGCATCGGTAGTTATGTTCATATTTTCACCTGCATGTTATGTGACACTGGTTTATTCTATTAAGGCCACAGAAGGAAAAGGTAGGGGAAGTGGAAGTAAGTCTTTATCAAGTTCTTCTGTTTGCCTCTCCGTGAGTACTGCACTATACTATGTATCTATCATAGTAGCACATCTTGCCTGACCACAGTAAAAAAAAAAAACCCTATCCTGTAAACACTGTTACTATATTCAATATCTCTATTGAAAATACTCCTATACCTGCCAGCAAATAAAATAGAACAGTTATTCCACTTGAATATTGGAGATGCCCCAAATCACTTGCTTTGGAAAACAAGTATTAATTTCAATTTGATGACCAAACACCACAGATAAAATAAGATTTGTTTAACCTTTTCCTATAATGTTTGGAAAAGGCAGCATTTGTTTAAAAATAAAATCATTTCCTATGGCATAAGAAGTGCTTTAAGCTAGGAATGAGGAGGTAGGGAGAGAATGACCAATAATCAAGTGAGGAAGTGATGGACGGGGCTGGCAAGCAAAAGGGTCCAGGCGGATGTGAACAGAAGAGACATTGCAATCAACAAAGCAGGGCTTTATATGTGCCCCAAGCATATACACATAAAACAGAAAGTGCCTGCAGGACAGCATCATGGGGGAAGCTATTGCGCCTTTTCTGGGAAATCAGCATGCTTGGTGCTTCTCTGAAGTGCCTTTACAGTAATACATGCAGCACGAGGAACAAAAAGGAGGAACTAGAGCTGTGTGTGGAATCACAGGGCTACAGTCTCATAGTGATCATAGAGACGTGGTGGGATACCTTGCGCAACTGGAGTGCTGACATGGATGCATACAGACTCTTTAGGAAGGACAGGCCAGGATGTGGAGAAGGAGGAGCTGCCCTTTACATGAGCAGCCAGTGGACATGCATGGAGCTGTACCTGGGGATGTATGAGGGTCCAGCTGAAAGCTTATG